TTTTTAAACTATATTTATTTTATCTATCTATCTGCCCGCGAATAGATCAAGCAATAATGTCGATAATTATGTCAAATACAGATCCCGATTTTGGGAGTTACAAACAAACACACATACATACATACATACATACATACATACATACAGGTGAAGTTAATAAAAGCGTGTTAATTAAAAAAATAATTCGGAAGGTCTTAGGTAGTAGTAGTATTTACATTTGTCTGTCATTTGATAACCATATTGAGCTAGGAAGGAATAAATTTGAACTAACTGATTCTAAAACTTTTGTGAGTTGTGTAACAAAAAAAATCTGTTCAAAATTGATAAAATTTGTTGTATAATCATTTCAAATGACTTTTATTTCGAAATTGACTAAAATAATGCCCATATTCATTATACAGTTCGAAAAAAGCCATTTTTGCCAGATAACGAATGATATACCGAAGTCAAAATTCATGTAGAAAGTCTCTTATGAAAATGAGTACTAGTTTGTTGTCACTGAATACCCCAAAAGATTACCTTACCAATTGAAACGTGGTGGAAAAATTTTCTGTCAATTCTGAGTTGTTCTTGATCATTGAATGCGTAATTTGTATCAACTTACATTTATTTTTCAGATACGAAGTAAATTACATCACGAAAACTTCCTACATAAAAGGATTCACATCGGCACTCGCAGTTTTCACAGAACGGTTCATTCTTTACCTCATCGTTGTGGTAAATCTCTTCTTAGGCAAGCTACCTACAAGCGACGTAATTTTCTCCATGGCTCAATTGATCAATACCATCCAGTTGTATATGTGTATATTTTTTCCCGCCGCTCTAGCAGCCTACTCCGAAGCTAAAGTATCGGTGAAGCGGCTAGAAAACTTTTTGCTTCTCGAAGAGAGGAATCTCGTATTGACAGATAGTACCGAAGATGTGAAGGAACCAGGACTGGTAGAAATCAAAAACGCCAATGCCAGTTGGATGTCCGAACCAATCGTCGATACTTTGGTAGATATAAACTTGAAAATACCTCCTGGGACACTGTGTTGTGTAGTGGGGAACGTTGGATCCGGAAAGAGTTCTTTGCTTCACTTGCTTCTCAAAGAAATGCCTTTGAAGAAGGGGTCCATAGAAGTGAAAGGACACGTGTCATATGCTTCTCAAGAACCGTGGCTGTTTGTCTCCAATGTGCGAAACAACATCCTTTTTGGACAGCCCTACCTGAAGAACAGGCAAGTTATAAGGGTGTTTTAATGAAATGAATGGAAATACTTTTGTCTTATTACCACTAGTTAATTTTATTTATTACTGGAGTTTTTTCCCAACACCAAACCGTTATTTTAACACCTCGACACAGGTTTCGATCACCAAGTGATCAACTTCAAGAGGAAGATCAAACTAGTATGATCTTCAACACGTGTCGAGGTGTTGAAATAACGGTTTGGTGTTGGATCAAACTACTTTGATCTTTCTTTTGAATGTAATAAATGACCGTTGGGTCTGAATTGGCGATCCCTATATACTACTAATGATATATAATAATTATTTCAGTTATGTTTGAAGGTGATTGACAATGTTTCATGATGAATTTCATTAGTTCGGACTTCCATTGTCTACTATATAAAATGATTTGAAATCCCTGAAACAAATTGGAGTAGCCATTCCGCTGAAGATCATTTTTGATGATGTCTAGTTCCTTCTCGAGACCTTCCTTCGTATTACAGAGTTTCAGGTTTATTTTGGTTAATATAATTGTTATTTTCAGCTATTCATTTTCAATTCTTCTTTTTCAGTTGTTTCAGGGATTTCAAATCATTTTATATAGTAGACAAAGGAAGTCCGAACTAGTGAAATTTATCTCAGTTATACTCGCACCAGAAAAATACGCCCCCGTGTATATGGGATCGTTCAGCCGAAGGTAATTATTTTTTAATTCAGTTTGGTAACGCAAGAGTTGCTGTCACCAGATCAGAAAAAGTTTGAAACCCGTCCTGATCACACGGACTGAGAATTAGTAGGCGACTTAATCAACAGTTGAATTTTTCACCTTCTAATCTTCGTAGAGAAATGGCTTGGTTATGCCACCAATTATATCCTCAGAGACTGAATTCGGCCATAGCTTAAATGCGTGGTCTTTTAGGGGCTTGAGGGAAAGAAATAATATTGGCAGTTTTCACAAAGCAACTTTATTGATGAATAAAGTCGGCGGAATAATCGAATTAACACTTATTGATAAAATAAAATTAACAAAAATTACTACTGGAGCTACTACCTATACAAAATAATATTGAAACTATTCTTTCATATACGTTTTACTGAATATTTTTTAAACTATATGATAGAAAAAGAAATATTTAATTATAACCGTGTGAAAAATATGAATAAACCACTAAAACAGAATGACAGCATTTTTCCTCTGAAAATTGAAATGACTTCACTCATGACATAAGTATGCTTTTTCTAAATTCTACAAACAAAATGAGATACAACTCTGAGCAACTATTAAGATACCCACTTAATCGCTCCTCCCTGTATAACATAGAAAAATGCTATAACCTAATAAAATGAAAAAGGGAACCCGATTCGTAGCTATATGGTAAATTTTCACCAATACCCTAGGTGCCAATTTGAAAATATAAAACATATACGTATGCTCTAACGTACAATATATTGTTTTTAAATACGCTCACCAAATTACCGTAGGTGGACTCTCCTAAAGTCTTCAACAAAAGCCACTCTGTCTCAAAAACTGTCCCAAACTCTCACCAGGAACTCGAAAATGTTCTCTAAATCAACTAAATTGAATAAAACCGCGAATACTTCCAAAACCCAATAAGTATCACTTCTCTAAACAGTGACTTGAAATATCTCACTATTTCAATTCACTCCAAATTTCTTCTAGAATTTCCAGCTATTGTAGGAAATTGAACTGGATTCACCAAATCTTCGCGCACGACTGCCTTAATTATTTCAACCAAATTTCCACCTTAACTCTGTTAGGGGATGTAATTCAAATAATCTCATAAAAATTCCCACCAATCAGAAAGTCTGAAATTGTTTTCAAGACTGGTACTCTTAACGTCCTCTACATGTCCAGCGAATAAGTCCGCAAGAATTGCCGACTGGTCTCTGATATTTCTAATGTCGTGAGCCGGCTACTGATATATATGTTACGGGCATTTTGATAAGTCCGGGAACTAATAATAATGGCCGGTCTGTATTCATAATGCCCGACTCAATTGGGCAATGTGATTAAAACAGCATGATTAATCACTTTTCCCGGCCATTATGAATAATGCCCACCCTATCTTGGGCAAAGTAATAAAATAGGTGAACTGTAGTGTTTTTATTTATTGAATGAAAAAAAAACTTATTAAATTTTTATGAAGAGTTAACAAAAAATAAACTATTGAACATAGTAGTTAAAAAATCAATAGTTAAAAATGTAATAACATCAGTAGTAACCTACTTTTATTTTGAAAAAAATGTTATTCAAGAACAATAGTTTCAAAATTAGTAGACTGAGAAAAATCAACAGAAATATCTAATAAATAAGGACTGTGCAAGAAAGTTATTAAGTTTACAATTATTTATTCTTGCAAGATGAGCTTTTGTGACATTTGGAATTGCAAAGAATGTTTGATTTCTTGCATTTACAACGTTTTGAATTGCAGCCACCACTACAGTTACAATGCTGGAAGCCTTGTGCATCAAAATAAGAGTCTTTTCGAACACATTCTCGAAGAGTAATATCAACTTTTGGAACATCGTCGATCGAAATGAACTTTTTTTTACACACAGTAAACTCATTTCTGGAGTACAGTTGGTTTAAAATAGCGTGTTTAGTTCCAAGTTTGTAAAGTTTTTCTTTTTCGACAGATACAATAATAGCGATTATATTACGACTATCCTTCTTGGCTCGATCTAAATCTGGTATCCTTACTCGAACACTTTGGCCTATTTCTGCAATAGGAAATTTTGCATTTGAACGCGCCAACAATTTTTTAGCTTGCTCATCAAGTGATTCTTTAGCTGCGTTACGAGCCTTCTGAATTTCGTTTGCTTTTGCGTTGAGTAAAGATGCAGCCTTTTCATTATCAGAATTTTCCTTTTCATTGCTCATATTGACATAAGACTGTTGGTCGGCTGCTCGCGGGTTTTCATTTATTACCATCTTTCAACATTGCCTCAAGGTCATCTTCACTTACATCTCCGTTAACCCGTCAAATGATGGCCGGAACTGATTTTAAACCTACCTTGGATTTGCAGCCAAACATATGACTTCTTACATGGACCACGGGCCGTCGGGCATTAATGATAATGGCCGGTCAAAGTGATAAATTAATGACTTTGCCCATCGCTCTTGGGCATTATTGATAATGGCCGGTCCTTATTAATAATGCCCAGTTAATCACGTTGCCCGTAACGTATAGATGTAACTGCAAGGGTTATTTTGATATTGTCTCTATCTCGAATAAGAGGTACGTAGACTATCTCGGATGCCATAATTTTATCATGTCGTTAAATCTTTGAACTCATAAAATGAATTTCGATATTTATTATACGTTCAAGTACTTTTTGACTGTTATTCTAAATGGGGTACACAGACTGAATGATATATTTTCGACCCTTAACGTCATGATAATAAAATGAACGATGAGGTTGAATGTTCTAAAATATCAGATTTCTTAAACATCGGGCAGTTAATTTAAACGACTTTTCTTTTGAATGGCTTGGCTCTGGTTGACCTAAAACTATTACTGAAAGCTGATAAAGGTTCCCTTTTTTCTACGAAAACCCATCTGTTTTGGTAGTCAATATTTAACGAAATATAATATGTCCAACTTATTACATGAAGATGATCACTTGGTGATTGAAACACGGGTCGAGGTGTTGAAATAACGGTTTGTTGTTGGGATAAAACTCCAGAAATACCTATGCATTACTAGACCAAAAGTTCCAAACAGTGCATTAAAAGTATTGTTAAAGTTGTGGGTCACACAACTTCACCCTTGTATAACTCACTTCGTATATTTCAATATAGGCATGTTATCTTAATGAATTACCAATATTTTTCAGATATGACGAAGTGGTAGATGTGTGCGCTCTTGAAAAAGATTTCAAACAATTTCCCTTTGCCGATAAAACAATGGTGGGTGAAAGAGGGGTTTCTCTAAGTGGTGGACAAAGGGCTAGGATCAATTTAGCCAGAGCGGTATACACTGAAGCGGATATTTACCTTTTTGACGACCCACTTTCAGCCGTTGATACGCATGTTAGTAAACATCTTTTCGAAAAATGTATCAAAAACTACTTATGCAAAAAAACTCGAATACTAGTCACTCACCAGTTGCAATACTTGAAGGAAGCTGATATGATTATCTTTCTGAATAATGTAAGTTGAATTGATTTAAAAAAAGGTCTGAGATTCGACATCTGGAAATGAAATCATTTTTCTTAAGGAAAAAAGTTTTATGATTTTTTGGTTGCAGGGCAAGATCGAAAAAGTAGGAACTTTTTCTGAATTATCAGAAAGTGTACTTAGAGATTTCGAAAGGCAAGAATCGAAGAATGACAATGAAAAAGACGAACAAGAAAAATATCAAAGAGAAAGAATCAAGTCGATAGTTTCCATCGCGGTAAGTTTTTCCAATATGAGTAAAAACGTTAATAGTCGTGTACCACACGGATCAGTTATTGGACCCGTTCAACTTCTATGTTATGTATACCCACATTGATCTAAATGTCATAAAAAACCATTTGAATCTTACTGAAAACATTTTCTTTCAAGTAGAAAATAATTTTTCGAAAGTTCACAAACAAGCATTTCTTTCAAATGTTTCCAGTTTTTTTTTGTTCCACTGAATTTACATTCAATAACCCTGGGTAAAATGAATTTCTTGAGATGATTTGAATAATGAACATACGTTGAACTTTTATTTTCCCGTGCCTCAAAAATATGTTTCATCAAAAATTTGCTTTGGTTTACAGAGCTCGGGAAAAGAAATTGAAGAAGAAGAACCAGAAGAAACCCACGAACTGTTAGAGAAAGGAAGCTTATCTGGTGCTTTGTACTTGGAATACTTCAAAAGTGGATCTGGCATACCTTTTCTATTGTTTTTGGTTATTCTTTCATTTGTTTCTCAAGCATTTTGCAATTTTTGTGATTTGTGGGTCACTCACTGGTAAGATTTCAACATTTACAAAGCTAATCATGGGCAGCAGATGTCCCGTATATATCACCTATTCAAAAACTTCTTATAAAAATTAATTCAAATTTGAATAAAAATTAATTATGGAAATCAATTCAAATTTGAACTCAATAATCACACACCTCAAGTAATGTGGAATAGTTCATGATGATTCCGGCGTCGGCATGCCTTTTGTAGATGTAAAAAATTCAGGCAAAAGGACTGAATAGCCTTAAAAATTATAAAAACGAGTTTATTGCCACAAAACGTAGTTGATAGTCATTTTCAGTATGTCTGAATATGTCATTAAATAATGTCAAGATTATTACTTTCTCATTGTTTGTGTGAATCCATCTCTGCTATTATTATTGTATAAAGATTCCAGAGAGGACTTGATTTAAAGTTCAGGATGAATTTTTAAAGAGCATCTCAGACATTTCTGATTGAAGCTTTTCGTGAATAACTTTGTATAACCAAAAAAATGTTCAGCTTCTATACTGAGTACACTGAACCTGGGAATAATAAATTTGTATTTCAGGACTAATATGGAGAAAATAAGATTTTCGAACATTGATAATTTCACTAACATCGCCCAATTTTTGATTAATGACAATGAGACATCTGGGATTTCAACTCCAACCGAAGGACTTACTTTCAGTATTACAAATGAAAGTAATACATTTGATGCCCAAGACGATTTACCAAAACCAGAGAGCTATGCAATTATTTATACAATTTTCATAGTCGGATCCATTGTATTGTCAACAGCAAGAGCCATCGTATTCTACAAAGTATGCATGAACTCTTCCAAAGGACTCCACAACAGGATGTTTGCTAATGTTTTGAAGGCCCCTATGAGATTCTTTGATACTAATCCTTCAGGTTGGTGAACGTTTTCATTCTTCATTTCTTTTCCTTTCATATTTGATAGTTTTTCATTTATTCAATTCCATGTGAGAGTCGAATACTAGAAAGTTCGAAGAAATTGAACTAGTTTGAACATTAATTCCGAAATCACTATAGTTCGGAAGCAAGAAAAGCAAACAGTGAATAATTGAAATAATTGTGAAAATGATAAAGTGTAGTTGAAGTTATCAAGAATCCACGCTGGATCAGTCAGTAACTGTTGAATGTTTTTCATTCAGGCAGAGTGTGACGAATCGGAATTGTCAAAACATTACAAATAAATTCATCTAACTAAAATATTGGTTGAATTTAAGTTGCCTCAATTTGATGCCACAGTTTATTACATTTTGAAAAAACCCGCTTCTTATTCAGAAAAAGAAGAACTGTTAAAAATACAGATTGATACTACGTGCCAGGACAGAATTACAAAACTGTGTGCTAAGTAAAGATAAACTTCATACATGGTTGGGAACGAGATTAGGAAATGGATCAATAAGATATATTAAAGAGTATTGGTATTCCTGGAAATTGGGAATACACAAGATGAAACTATACAAAAAGGCCGTCTGAGAAAAATACCATTTTTTCAACTTTTGTTTGAAGGTGATTGACAACGTTTCATGATGAATTGCATTACTTCGGACTTCCATTGTCTGATATTATATAAAATGATTCGAAATCCATGAAAGAACTAAAAAAGAAGAATTAAAAATGAATAGCTGAATCAAACAATTATATTAAGCAAAAAAACTTGAAATGAAATAACAGTCAAATAAAATACAAGTAAAAATAGAACAATTGAACAAAAAATAAAAGGAAGAAATTCCAAGCCAAGTTACTTCACGACGTTTCGATTGTTAGTATCCACAATCGTCTTCGGATGATCTGTTCTGTTTCTGTTTTTTCCGTTAATCAGCTGTCGGCCCCATGCGAATGACAACTCTCAGAAGTTGAGAAACTTGTGCGAGCTAAGGACTAACGAGATCTTACCTTTTAACGTGTGATTCCTAACACGGTGATGACTGGACTGATTCCTCCGAGAGATGACTATTTATGGGTCATTCGAGTATTTTCACTTATCCCCGCTTTCCTTTTTCCGCTTCACTGGTTAGTGGGAGATGACCACTTGGCGGGAGTTGGCCATTTTTCACTTGATGATGGGTTTCCATATGTTGCTTATTTCTACGATAGCTTGGCTGAATACGTTGTTGGACAACATGTATGCGGCTTCTTTAAATTTCCTCCTAAATCAATGTTCCTCTCTGTGTATGATCCCAGCTTGGGACAACTCGATGTTATGTTGATGGGTCCAAAACATGATCTGCTATTCCTGATTTGCTGGTTTCCCCTCGCTGTGTGTTTCTTGTGCTCGGCAATGCGAACATTCAATGGCCTCTTGGTTTCACCAATATAGGATTTTCCGCACTCACAGGGTCTCCGGTAAATGCAATTCTTGGAATCGCAGTCCGCGTTTGAGGCTGCTACGGATAGTGTTTCCGGATCTGAAGCAGGTTTTTCAATAAAGCAGGTGTCGGTTTTATAATTTTAGGGCTACTCATTGAACACCATCTAGAGGATATCTAAACAGAATGAAGTTGTGTAAGTGACCCTTCAACTGCAGACAATGTAAAAAATAGACAGAGAGAAAGTTCAGATGAATATTTGAAATGATGAAGAAGCTGTAAAAATTAGTTCAGGATACACGTTTTTTAGAATGGGTGTCATAAATATATGGAAGAAAAACCAAGAAGCCCATGATGCTGCAGTCTTCTGCAGACTTGGAAGAAACAGACAAAACAAAAAAGGTTTTTACAGATGGCATAATGAATAACTGAATACTTCATTAACCGCAAATAAGAAATTTTAAATAGTCATACCTACTTATAATTCTATAACAATAATTATAATTATGAGTTCAGTAATACAATTTTTTCACTGGCTTACTCCGTTCTCTCGTGTTTGTTATCGCTTCTGTAGCTTAATTCGCCATAATTTATTTAGTGGTGGAAGCTTTTCGAACTATTGGTATTCATCAAATCTCCTGGTTTCATCCGCCATTTCTTTCAGGATAATAGATATGTAAACACCTATCCCTTCGAAAGTGGACGGAGACGTACTCACTACTTTTACAACAATACGATTTAGCCAAACTGTACAAATGACATTATTCAGAGTGGTATTTTGAAGCCAGAGTTCTTTCTTGGAGCTTAACTATATAACCAAAGTTTTCATTTGGATTCTAGCAGTCTCTTCATCCTACCGCTTTTTAAGTTTTTCCTCAGTTTTCTCTCGAAGCAATTTCAACCTATTTTTCTTTATTCCATCGAAACAGAAATTTTCAAAGCCTTTCATTTATAATTTACTTGTGATGCACTGTTTTTAACCTTTGGTATAGTAATGAATATTACTGGAGTTTAACTATTAAAGATGATCATTTGGTGATCGATACACGTGTCGAGGTGTTAAAATAATGTTTTGGTGTTGGGAAACAACTCCAGTAACATGGAATAATTTACCAAATACATTCGCCCACTCAGTTTTACGGACGAAGTCTAAAATCTCTCAAATAATACTTTGATTATAGCTGAGGGGATTTCAAAAACTGCTGAAGAATTTTTGATAGTCTTCACATCACACCTGCTAACAGTATTAATATTTGATGGATTTTAGTTTGGCAGAATCGCAAGGGTGACTTTCTTGAACCATTCATTTGACTATTGTTCTGGATTCTATTGACTAATTATGAAGGAACTTCTTTCAGGAAGAATATTGAATCGATTCTCAAAAGACATCGGGGCAGTAGATGAAATTTTGCCTAACGCAATGTATGATGTTGTTCAAGTATTTCTGGTTATGGGAGGTATTCTAGCATTGAACTTCATTGTGACCCCATGGATGATTATACCTGCTGTTGTTCTTGGATCTCTCTTTTATTATTTGAGAGTAGTTTACTTATCCACTGCTCAAAACGTTAAGAGACTTGAAGCCGCTAGTAAGTATAATATTAACATTCCTTAGGAAAATACATTTCGAATAATATAAATTATTATTCTTCAATAATTCGTGCTCTATTTTTCACCGGTTACATCATCGATGTAAAAGAAACTCAATCAGTATTTGCTCTTTTTCATCGGCTGTTAACTACTGGATTTCATCAAACTTCTTTTGTCATCGGTGTTTATCGATAAATTCCATCAATTCATCGAAACCAAGGCCGATGAATCTGAAAAATTCCTGTTAGCTGAATAATTAAGACATCAAAACAAATTTTGAATTCGAAATTTTCAAAATTATTTCGGCAACATACGTTTTGTTACTCATTTTTGTATGTAGTACTGCGATATGGATGCGGTATGGCTCAAAATATGAATAATTTGTTAGTATTTATGACAAAAAATATGTAAGAAATATTTCGTTTTGACAATAATAGCATACCGTCACTTGTCAACTCCAGTTAGTATTCCTTTTTTTCACTAAAGTTGATAATCATCGAATTCATTGTGACCTGTCAAACTGTCATTTGATAGCTTTACGATTAATCAGTGAAATTTATCTGATGAAAAATAATATACGCGGATGTAATTGTGTGATTATAAAACACAAGATTGGAAAAATCATCAGATCAAAATAGAAACGACAAAATTTCATTCATTATTTTTGAAAACTAAAAAAAACAAGCGTTATTAAAAGTTAGTCTTAGTTTTCACTCAACAAAAACACAATATGGTGCAGCCTAATATTAATATTAAATTATTTTCCACAGCGCGAGCCCCTGTGTTCTCACATATTTCTGCTACTTTATATGGAATTTCAACAATCAGATCTTCTAATGCTCAAGATATGGTCACTCAAGAATTTGACAGTCTACAGGATCAACACACTGGTAGTTCATACCTGTTCCAAGCTTGTAGTGAAGCTTTCGGGTTTTATCTGGATTGTATCAGTACTGCGTTTTTGGCTCTCGTTACTTTTCAGTTTCTCATAGGAAATGGTGAGTTCATTTATAATAAGCAACAAAATGTTTAACACTATCAGAAAAAACACTTCTTTCTACGACTGCTATGAAAACACCAATGAACAAACAGTGTTTTTTTCAAATCTCCATAGTTTTACCATACTCGATGTTATTCATATATTTTAACTGATGAATGAAAATATTAAGGATTTCTTGGTAAATGATATTGTGATCAAAAACTGAATTACAACTTTTTCTAGACAATGTGAATAGCGCAGAAGTAGGTTTGGTGATTTCAAGTAGTCTGATTTTAACGGGTATGCTCCAAGTGGGTGTAAGACAATCAGCTGAGGTTGCTTCCAATATGACAAGCGTAGAAAGACTGGTTCAATATGTTAAGTTGAAAACTGAAGATGACTTGAGAAAACCTCCAACCAAAAAACCAACTGATTGGCCATCAAGGGGAAAAATTGTTTTTGCAAACACTTACTTAAGATACGCCTTAGAAGAGCTACCAGTATTGAAGGATTTGAATATCTCAATAGAGCCTGGAGAGAAAGTTGGCATAGTAGGCAGAACTGGGGCAGGAAAATCAACACTAATTGCCTCGTTATTTAGATTAGCACCAATTGAAGGAACAATCGCCATAGACGATGTTGATACAGCTGATATCAGTTTAGAACAACTCAGGTCCAATATTTCGATTATCCCACAAGAACCCATTTTATTTTCCTCCACTATACGATATAACTTGGATCCATTCGATAAAGCAAGCGATGGAGACGTCTGGCAAGCTCTAGCCGATGTGAGTAATTCTAAAAAAAAATAACCCCCGATAATCGATAATTTTTCTCTTCAAGGTTGAGCTGAAGAACTCAATCGATAGTCTCAATCAACAGGTTAGTGAAGGCGGTTCAAATTTCAGTGCAGGTCAAAGGCAATTGATTTGCTTGGCTCGCGCCATTTTGAGAAATAACAAGGTTTTGGTAATGGATGAAGCTACAGCCAACGTTGACCCTAAGTGAGTATATTGTATGTTTGACCTTCAAAGAAACACCCTTTTGTAATAATTTAGTAAGTATATACATTCATTTCCATGCATATTCATCTCCAACTGTATTTTCTTACAGTACGGATTCGCTTATCCAAAAGACCATTCGAGAAAAATTCAAAAATTGCACAGTACTAACCATCGCTCACAGATTAAACACCATAATGGACTCTGACAAAGTTCTTGTGATGGACGCAGGAGTGGCTGTAGAATATGCACCTCCACATGAGTTATTGCAGAATTCTGAGGGATACTTTTCAAAAATGGTGGAGCAGACAGGAACGCAGATGGCAACACGTTTGAGAGAGGAAGCATTTAAGGCTTATCGAAAAACTGTTGCAGAGTCGTCGAACAGTTAGAATATTTTTGAAATCTAAAACGATATTCTTGTTGATATTTTTGATTAAATAATATGTCCTGTTTCAACGATTCATAGTGACATTCCATTGTAGGTGATAAAGCAAGAGTAACATCACCAGTTTCTGTTTCTTCGGGTGTGAACTGAATTAGACTATAGTCTATTTCAAAAGAGTGTAGAGTAATAAAATCTCATTAAGTATTCAAAAGCGCTACAGGGTGATCCGTCAATAAATTCTGTCACTTCCCTAATCCGCATTGCAAAATTATGTCGTTTCATAAAGAGCAGGTAGGTATCACCCTGTTTTAAGGGATTTGTCCATTGTTATCGACGGATAAATACTGAGCCAGAGGCGCGCTAGTGGGATAATTGCCAAAAGAATATGCATTCATAAAAATTATATTAAAGGAAATAAAAATTTAATACAGCAGAACAGTGTTATTAAAAAAATATAAAATGTAACAATAAAATATATACGAACCGAAATCGGGAAATACTCACAAACACACACGAACGAACTTTACGTATTGAAACACTTGTGGGGACTTTAAATCAATTTATTCACAAAAACGACAAGAACTTTACTGGATACGTTATTACAATTT